TTGTGGACTTGGTTCTTTGCACGCATCTTCATCGCTGCGCGGAGCGTGTTCTTTGATGGGGTTATCTACGCGGATGATCTCAACGCCTGGAGAGCGCTTCCAGCTTGTGCCACGAATGCTGAAACATGCTCTGTGTTGTGATAGTGTCAAGCCTCATTGCGTGCTCGGGGCCGAGCGAATCGCGCGCAGTTGGGCGCAGGCAAAGAACACTTCCACATTTTCTCCTGTTCGCAGCCGGGCGATGACATCTTTAAGATATTAGGCATATTATTCGATCTGAAACTTCTAATGACTGTCGCTGTTGAAGATTGCGTCGCAGTAGCGTCTGGGAAAATTCAAAACATTCGGACTTGCCGTTTCTATTGTGACGCTGATTGAATCAACCTGTTCAAGGCGCATGTTTTATCGTTTATTGAATGCAGGGCGTGTGCTGTCAGTCATGCGTCGGCTTCCGTTCTGGCTCCACTTGTCGCACTTCTGTTGCGATTTCTTCGCTCCCTGGGAGTGCCGCTTATCGATGCTTTGTTTAATTTCAATCTTGTTCCTCTTTCCACCCGCCGAGACATCGGCATTTTAGGTGCAATCCATCGACCTGTGCTTGGATCAGGACCGGCGTGCTTTATCCGCTTCTTTCGCCTCGGCTCTTCTCCCCCCCTCGTCGCGCCCTTCGGCGGCGCGCCTGGCGCCTCGTTGAGCCGTTGTTTGCAGCTCTAGATTTTTTGCTTGATTCGGCCATTGGAACCATCTGGATTTATAACCTGCTGCCCGATCACGTCTTTTGCGCTCGAACGGCCCATGGGTTTCTTTGGAGACTGCAGCAGTCGATCAAATCACGAGCTACGCAGCACGACAATTGGGCGTCCACTCTGTCTTCCCGCCTCCCTCTGGCGTCTCGCCCTGTTAGGGGATGCCGGGACTGGCGGGGTTAATTTGCTGTGTGTTTACAATGTCCGGCGTGTTTTCTTTGCCGCCTCTGACCTGGGCAGGCTTAGTCGTTTCGCGTGTAAATCCACTTGTTTTTCCCCCTTTCCATCCCCGTCTCCCCTTCCCCCCCCCCCCCTTCTGGCCCTCCTCTCCTTCTCCTGGCGCTGCCGCGTGCCTGGGCATGTAACCTCTGTGGTGCTCTCTGCTGCCCGGAGCGGCCCCGGCGCGCGGTGGCGCGCATTTCTCTTATCGCTTGGCGCAGGGGGAGATTTTGACTTGTTGCCGAGGCCTTAAAGTATTTAAAACGTATGCCAAAAATCAAACAGCAGAACCGGACCCATCACCCGCCCAGATTGCTCCTCGCCCTGTCCCCACAACGGCCCCGGCACTGGGGGCTGCCCTGGCTCTGGTCTGCGATGGGGGGCACCTCCGCCAGCGCAGCGTGAGCTCCCGCCCCTCGTCAGAGCAACTTCGTCGTGTCGCCGGGCGCCGCGCCCTCTTCTGGGATTCCCCACCTCGGGCTAAAGGAAGCGGAGCAAGGCGGCGGGCGGGTGCGTCCTGCGTCCTGAAGGCGCCCCAGCGCACATCTCTCGACTTCCGCTATTGACAGCGAGCGTTGGCGGCCAGGATCATTGCGGCGCAGCAAACGGGCGTGGACCCAGCGCGGCCTGGAGTCGATGCTGCGCCCTGCGCGGCGGCGGTGCCCGTGGCCCCAGTCCGCGCGACGCCGCTTACCTCCGCTGCTTCTTCCGCCAACTTCGCCCCGCGCCCCCCCGCGCCGGCTAGATCCCCCACGCCGGCCCGCCCTGCCCACCTGGGCAATGGAGGCCGCGGTCTCCGGCCGCCGTGTTGCCGGGCCACGGGGCGCCACGCCCTCCCTGGCGGGCGGCGGCTTTGGCCCCTTCCCCCCTGGCTCGCTCCCCGCGCCCTCTGTCCGCGCGCCTCGATGCAGGCCCCCCTGCTGCAGGGTGCACGGCGGGGCCGCTCCAGTTCGCGCGCGCCGTCTCTGGGCCCGCGGCGGCGTTGGCGTCGGGCAGGCTGTCGGCCCAGCCGCCAGCGGCAGCGCGCTTGCAGCGCCCGCCGAGCCTGGTTAGGCCGGGGGGGGGCCTGCAGCGCGGCGGCCTCCTCAGGGGCTCCAGCGGCCCCCGCGGCGGCCTCAGTTGCGCCCCGCGCCGATTCTGGGCCAGGACGTTACGGGGCCAGAATCTCGCCGCTGCTGGCCTCGGCGCCCGCGGCTCCCGCTTCCGGCCGCGCGGCGGCCCCCGTGGCTTCGCGGGCGGCCCCTGCAGCGCCCCGCGGCGATTCTGGGCCGCAACGTTCTGGGCCTGGGATCCCGCCGCGGTTCGGCCCCAACCGCGGCGGCCTCCGCCAGCCGCGCGGCGGCCCCATTGGCCTTGCCGGCGGCCCCGGCGGCGCCCTGCCGCGACTCTGGGCCGCGACGCTCCAGGCCCAGAATCCCGCCGCTGCTGGCCCCAGCGTCCGCGGCAGCTCCCGCCGGCCGTGCCCGCCGCCGAGCGCCGGCTTCCCCCTGGGAGGTGCGCCGTCGCACCGCCAACTTGCAACAGTTCGTTGCGCGCCTGACTCATCAGCGCTTTGGCCCCGCTCGCTTGTTGGCTTCGTGTCCACTTCCGCGCGTTCACCTTCGCGCCTCCCGCTGCGCGCCGCCTGCCTGGCGTCTGCCGCCCCACCTGTGGGCAGGTCCTCCTCCCTGCGCGCTTTCCCCCCCGCGTTCGCTCTCCCTTACTCCTGCGCCGCCCTGGCGTTGCCGGCCCCCGCTGACGCCGCCTTTTGGCTGCCAGCTGCCAGCCCCCGCACCGGCCCCGCTCCCGGTCGCGCCGCCCGCCGCTGGCGCAGCCGGCCTGCGGTTCCGACCGCGCCCGTGCTGGGGTTGGACAGCCTTCCGGTTTTGACATTGACAATGTCCGCTACGCGCTCTTCAACCGGGACTCGCCTCCCCGCGCTGGGGCTCGCTGGCCGTGGCGCGTCGATGCAGCGGCCGCCGCGGGCTCTGCGGCGGGGCTGGCCGCGCCGCGCGCTTGGGGAAAGATCCGTTCCCTGAGCCGCCCGCTGCGCCCCTGTTTTTCTTCGGCCTCGTCCTCTCTTCGCTTTTCCTCTTGCATGGTGGCGCATTTCCCGCGCAAACGGCATCTCTGTTTGAGCGTCTCATCGCCAGCGCAGTCGCCCTCTGCCTAGCCGCCGACGCAAGGAGTGTAGTGCAGAGATTATGCATGATATGTTCCACGTTGGTGGCCCCATCGTTGCACCCTGGAACGCCATGTTGCCCATGCCAAGGTCACGCGGAACAATAACATATCCAACTGTCGTCACGGACGATATTTTTTAATTTAGCAAATTCAGCAATGCTGCATCCAAGCGTTTTTTCCTTCCCAATACACGAAGCTTGCAAACCAAACGAAACGAGCCCGCTTTGTCGAAGGCTCCCGACGCACCAACACACAAGAGAACATTGAACATTCAATTCGATGATAGTTTTTTTGCGGAAGCAAATGAGAATTTGCATCGCGTGCTCCTCTTGTTGCTTAACCACAAAACACAAGCGTTGTACACAAAACCAGCGCTTGTACGGTCGAGCCACGTAGAATTGATATGCACATTCTTCCGTATTTCGAAAGCGTCCTTGTGTAACACCCGAGCTCGTAACGCGGAGTCTTTTCGTTTCCGGCCGTTCCCCCGATCCGTAGTCACCATACTCAGCAGGGTAACGTGATAGTGATGCCCAAAAGAGAAATTTCACATGCGATGTGGGACGCAGTCAGGACTTCTGCCAGAGCTTATCCATATATGCACAACAGAGTTTCGCCAGTGTCGAACGCATCGCGCTGCATAACCGACCAAAGCCAATGCCGTCCAGAATATCACTTCCATGTGAGGCGTGCGCCAATTCTGCGAGCAATTCGTTGCCAACACGTCCGCTTTCTCCGAAGGCGTCACAGCCCAACACCCCAACTTTGCCACCCACTCATCACCCACCCGCGGACAACCCATTGCATGGGGTTCCCAGCGTGCCCGTCGGGTCTTCCAGGGGCGTGCGATAGTGTTCAGACTTGTCGGGCCGCCTCCAGGGCTCTTTGGGTTTCTCTGCCGTGATCGGGGCCTTTTGCAGCTTTCCTCGGGTAATTGGTTGTCCTTTGTTTTTGTGGGCGGGGCTTGGCGAATGGGCTCCCCATGGTGGGTTCAGTACGTCCAGCGGTGTTCCACGGGCAATGCCTTTTCGGCCGGGGACTTTCATTCCGCTGGTTCAGAAGATCAAAGGTGCGGCTTCCGCTTTCGTATGCGTTGTGTCCCGTCGTGCTGCTTGCCTGAAGTTGACTTTGGTTGGTGCCTTTTTTTTCTCCGCGTCACTCGCGGGCGTTCTTGAAGGCTTTTTGAAGTCGTCGGGGGCGGCCTCATGGGAGCCTTTTCAGCATCTTGGGGGCCTATCGGGCAGTCTTGGGGGCTCTTGGGCCACCTCAGAGTCATTTTGGAAGTCAATTCGCCAGTCTTGGGCCCATCAGGGGGGCTTCTAATTTCGTCGAGGGGTTCAGGACCCCTTGACATGGCGAGAATGCGAATTCAACACCTTGCGAAGGTACGTGTTTTTTGGTCTTTTGAGAACGTCTTGTGATCCTCTCGGGCCCTTGCTGGGCGTCTTCCAATCCTCTCTGGTTGTTTTCAAGCCATCTTGGATGTGCTGGAAGCTTCTCCGCCTCGCTGCAGTCCTCGTTGAACCACCTTAGGCCTTGGCCATTTGGAAGGCCGCGGTGGGTGGATTTGGAGGCTCCGAGGGCCGAAGGGAGGTAGGACCTCGGCGGAGGGGGACAACCAAAAGTCTTACGCCGTTTCACTCCCGGCAGGCGGGTGTCGGAGGACTTCTAGTGCAGGCAAACGCGTAATTTGTAAGTTTGCTTGTTTCATCCGTCGCGTTTGCCCATTTGCCCATCAGTTTTCTGCAAGTGTTTGCGCCGCGTTCCCGTCAGCATTGTTCCTGGCATCGTTCCAGCGCTTGTGGTATTGTGTGCTGCACCCAGTTGAGAATGCTTAGGCAGTGCATCGGCATTGATCTTTGACATGTCCAGGACTCGCCCAAGACGAAGGTGATCATTGACCATTGGGGCTTCTTTTTGCAGCCAGCCACTGGTGAAGGAGACAGGGTCGCTATCTTAGCGCAAGCTTCGCCCCGCCAGGTTGTGGAACATAATATGATACTGTAGTGCTTAGCGGCAACAGAAATTATGTGTTGCGCTTGCCCATCGTAGGCACATGTTTTTCTTTAAATGATCTCCAGACACTGATTGCACGCAGGATGTCTGGATGTCTTGATGGCTTGACAGGATCTGTTTTTCGTTGTTGTGGTTTTCGCCCTCACCGTGCCGGACCCCGATGGTTCTGGGGGTCGCGTTTCCCGCTTGCCACCTGCACGTTCTTGGGTCCCGTTCTTGGGCTGTTGCGATGTGAGGTCGCTGGCCGTGGCGGCTGGAGTGCCGTTGGCCCTGGTCGTTACGATTGACGGTTGCCGGCCTTGAGGTCGTCGTTCCCGCTGGCCTTCGGTGGTTGCGATCTTTTGGTCGCCTCGCCTTGAGCCCCATGTCCCACTGGCCGTGGCTTCTAATCCCGAGTCCCCCCTGGGTGTGGCGATTGCCAGAAGCTGCCCATTGGGTCAGAGGCCCCCTGGCCCTGGTTGCTGCGAGTTTGGCTCTGGTCGCTGCCAGATCCATGGTCCTGCACTTTGGTTGTTGCGATGCCAGGTCGCCGGGAGCCCTTTTGACCTTGGTTGTGGTGATTGTCGGTTGCCGGCCTTGAGGTCGTCGTTCCCGTCGGCGTTGGTTGTTGCGACGTCTTGGTCGCCTCGCATTGGATCCTTTTCCCCATTGGCCGCGGCTTCTAGATCCGAGTCCCCCTTTGTAGTGGCGATGTCCAGAAGCTGTCCGTAGGATCCCAGGCTCCCCTGGTCCTTGTTGCTGCGAGTTTGGTTCTGATCGCCGCCAGATCTTGGGTGCCGCGCTTTGGTTGTTGCGATGCCATGTCGCCAGCCATACCAGCTGGAGTCCCGTTGTCCTTGGCTATTGTCATTGTCAGTTGCCCGCCTTGAGGTCGTCGGATTAGCTGTCCCTGGTTTGTGTGATGTCTTGGTCGCCTCGCATCGGGTCCCATGTCCCACTGGCCGTGGCTTCTAGTTCCGAGTCCCCCCTGGCAGTGGCGATGTTCAGAAGCTGCCCGTAACGTCCCAGACTCCCCTGGTCCTGGTTGCTGCGAGTTTGGTTCTGATCGCCGCCAGATCTTGGGTGCCGCGCTGTGGTTGTTGCGATGCCAGGTCGCCGGCCGCAGGGGCTGCAGCGCCGTTGGCCTTGATTGTTACGATTGTCTGTCTGTTCCCGCTAGCCTTGGTTGTTGCCATTTATCGGTCTTGGGTCATAGACTCCCAGGTTTCGCCAGTCCTGGTCTGAATTCAGGCTCGTTCCCGCTAGCCCTGGTGGTTGCAATTTCCGGTCGCCTGCCTCTGGGTGCTGGGTCCTGCCAGCTTGGGGTGTTGAGGATTTCCCGTTGGTCCCAGGTCACGATGGCGGTGGTTCTACCGATTTCCGATCGCAGCCTGTAGGGTCCGGCTTGCTGCGGTTGTCGCGATTTCCAGTCGCCAGCCATAGGGTCCTGCGTGTGACTTTCCTGCCATAGGTCCGTTGGCCATGGTCGTTGTGATTTCCTGGTCGCTGGCCATAAGTCCCAGGGCTCGCTGGCTTTGGTTGTTGAGATTTCTGGCCGCCTGCAGCCTATGGTGTCCCGCTGGCCCTGGTTGTTGCGATTTCGGTAGCTGGCCATCGGATCTTGGCGCCTCTGGGAGGCCCGTCGGGGGGTCTTGGAGCAGTCTTAGGCGCGATGGCTCCACCAAGCTCGCCCGAATATGTTCGGTCGACCCCTTCTTGGGACGTCTGGACGGGTCTCGGGTAGTCTCGGGGGTCTTCTGGGGACGTCTGGGGGGTCTATTCGCGCAGTTTTGGGCCGTCTTGGAGGCTTCGTGGTACCCTCTGAGGGCTTCCCGTGGCGATCCGAAGCCGAAAAGTTTAGGAAGCAAAGCGTGTTGATGTTCTCTTATCTTTTCCACCGATTTTCGCTTCTTCGGACTGCGCTTGAGGTCTCCTTGAGCGCCTCTTGAAAGCCTCGTGGGGCCCCTTGGGGTATCATGCGGAGATCTTGGAGCAATTGGGATCTCGTTGGGCTGTCTTTGGATGGTCTTGCTGCGTGTAGCTGTTTGAAAATGTTTGGTTGTCTGGGAGCCGCCTGGAGGCCGCTAAGTGCGCCAGATAGCAAAATCAAGGGGACGATGTTCGGAGGTTTCGCGCGAACAGGAGGGACGGTCTGCCCTATGCAATTTTGAATTCCCTACCAGATTTCAGACAAGCGTTCTAACGCACACGCACACACCAACGTGCCGAAGGCACGGTGGCGGATAGCAAGCTTGCAACACGTCTCTGTGCTCGATGAAACAGGTCTGGTTGTGTGGCTCGTTTGTGTGATCAGACAGTCGGGGTTACAATTGGGACATGCAGCTGCGTTAGGGCGTTGGTAGGGCGAGGCTGGCCACGTTTTGTTCGATGCGATCGATGTTCTTGGAGAGTGTTTTTCCAAATCCTCCTGTGTTGGGTACTCGTTTTGAATAGTACACTGCGGTCCCCTCCTCCTCCTCCTCCTCCTCCTCCTCCTCCTCCTGCTCCCCCTCCTCCTTCCTCCCTGCATTCTCCTCCTCCTCGTTTTCTTCCTCCTCCTCCCTTCTTCGTGACCTCGCCGTCCCCTGGGGGGCTGCGATCTGCGAAACCGTCGCCACTTTCGTGGGCTCCTGGGAGGGCCAGCGGAGGTACGTCACACGCAGATCACCACGAGATCTCGCCGTCCCCTGGGGTGCCTGCGATCTGCGGAACTGTCGTCACTTTCGTTGGCTCCTGGGAGGGCCAGCGGAGGTACGTCCTACGCGGATCACCACGAGACCTTGCCGTCCCTCGGGGGGCCTGCGATCTGCGAACTTGTCGCCACTTTGGTGGGCTCCTGGGAGGGTCAGGGGAGGTACGTCATACGCAGATCACCATGAGACCTCGCCGTCCCGTGGGGGGCTGCGATCTGCGAAATTGTCGCCACTTTCGTGGACTCCCGAGGGGGCCACCGGATGATACGCAGATCACCCCGAGACCTCGCCGTCCCCTGGGGGTCTGCGATCTGCGAAACCGTCTCCACGGTCGGGGGTTTCTGGGAGGCCCAGCGAATTGACGTCCTACGCGGATCACCACGTGACCTCGCCGCCCACTGGGGGGCTGCGATCTGCGAAACTGTCGCCACTTTCGTGGGCTTCTGGGAGTACCAGCAGAGTGATGTCACACGCAGATCACCACGAGACTTCGCCGTCTCTTGGGGGCTCCAGGGAGGGCTAGCGGAGGTACGTCATACGCAGGTCACCACGAGACAACGCCGTCCGTTTGGGGGCTGCGATTTGCGAAACTGTCGTCACTTTTGCGGGCTCCTGGGAGGCCCAGCGGAGGTACGTTCTACGAAGATCACCATGGGACCTCGCCGTCCCCTGGGGGCCTGCGATCCGCGAAACCGTCGCCACTTTCGTGGGCTCCTGGGAGGGCCAGCGGAGGTACGTCATACGCAGATCACCATGAGGCCTCTCCGCCCCCTGGGGGGCCTGCGATCTGCGGAACTGTCGCCACTTCCGTGGGCTCATGAGAGGGCCAGCGGAGGTACGTCATACGCGGATCACCACGAGACCTCGCCGCCCCCCGGGGGGCCTGCGATCTGCGAATTTGTCGCCACTTTCGTGGGCTTTTGGGAAGGCCAGCGGGGATACGTCATACGCAGATCACCACGAGACCTCGCAGCACCCGGGGGGCTTGCGAGCCACTTTTGTGAGCTAGATTCCCAGTGGAGGTACGTCCTACGCGGATCACCACGAGACCTTGCCGCCCCCTGGGGGCCTGCGATCTGCGAAACCGTCGCCACTTTCGTGGGCTCCCGAGAGGGTCAGCGGAGGTACGTCATACGCAGATCGCCACGAGACCTTGCCGTCCCGTGGGGGGCTGCGATCTGCGAAACTGTCGCCATTTTCGTGGGCTTCTGGGAGGCCCAGCGAATTGACGTCCTACGCGGATCACCACGAGACCTTGCCGCCCCCTGGGGGCCTGCGATCTGCGAAACTGTCGCCACTTTCGTGGGCTTCTGGGAGTACCAGCAGAGTGACGTCACACGCGGATCTCCACGAGACCTCGCCGCCCCCTGGGGGCCTGCGATCTGCGAAACTGTCGCCACTTTCGTTGGCTCCTGGGAGGGCCAGCGGAGGTACGTCATATGCAGATTACCACAAGACCTACGAATTATGTCTCCAATCGTTCTTCCTTCACATGTTTCTGCGCCCCCTCGTGGGCGCTCTCCTGCCAGCGACCTGACTCCCAAGAGTGACGCCGCATATGTGAAACATCTGACCAGACCCACTTTCTTTGGCGAAGCGTTCAAGGGCATTGCTGATCATTCAACGACTGCTTTTGTATTGGGCGATCCGATGCATATTCGCGACATGCTTAAAACGGGTTGGGTACGTCCCCGGGCTAGGTTTTGTCTTTCACGGCTTGTCCCACTGAAGCTCTTCTGATCGTGGTGATCTTTTCGTGAGCCATTCGTATCCGCACACATTTCGGCTAGAGAACATGAGGAACATGCACGTGGGACGCCGTCGAGCGATAATCCTCAATCGAACGGCCTTCGGCCCATCCCGCCACTGTGCCTGGGTTGTGGGTGTGAATGCTATCTGCTGTTCGTTGGGATCTCGTGGGAGGCCTGTAGGAGGCCTCTTGGGAGCGGTTTTGACGTCTCCCGGAGACCGTTTTGGGGCCTCTTCAGGCCTCTTTTGGAACTCCTGGGGGTCTCTTGGGGCCTCTTTGGGGCCTCTCGGGGCCGCCAGGGCGCCTCTGGGGGCCTCTTGTGGGCGTCTTGTGGTGGAAGGCTAAGGTTTTCGGTTCGTCTTCCCTCTCTTGGGTCCCTTTCTGGGGCCGTCTCGGGGCCCTCCTAGGCCGTCTTGGGCGCCTCTTGGGCCGTCTCTGGGCCTTCGCGGGCCGTTTTGGGGCCCTCCCGGGTGCCCCTGGGGTTGTCTTGGGGCATGCTTGGGGTGGGGCCTCCTGGGCCGTCTTGGAGCGTCGGGAATCCGAAAAAGCGGGAAAGCCAACAACCTTCGAACATCTAAGTACAACCCATGATTTTTGTCTCTTGGGGCCCTCTTGGGGGGCCTTTTGGAGGCCTCTTGGGGCGTCTTGGGGGCCGCTTGGGCCGTCTGGGGTCCATCTTGCGTGTCTTGGAGCGATCGTTCGGCGATTCGGAGCCCTCTTGGACCGTCCTCGGGGTCTCATGGGGCCTTTTTGCACCGTCTTGGGGCCCCCTTGGGCCCGAAACAGTCGCGCGACAAGATGGGGGGAACCCGTGCGGCACGCGGGAAGCCACGCAAACTTTCTGACATCCGGGTCGGGGCCCCGTACAGACCCCTCGGGAGTGAGGCTTGAGGCCTCGAGGATTGGGCAAATGACCTGAGGACACGCCCGCTCCGCCCAGAGGCACGGTGGCAGATGCTTCGCGTATTCCCGCCAACCCATCCAGAAAAGATCCCCAGACGAGCTGCTGTGATCAGCGATGTGCAGGAGCAAGCCGTGGAACAATGACGCGGGGCAGCCACGAAGCCGAAGCTCGGGATCAGCCCGAGCAGACCCAGGAGTCAACCATACATGTCTTCGTTTACCTTTCCATGTATGGGCCTCCGGGTAGCTTACCTGGGTCATCTTGGGGCCCCCTTGGGGCCATTTTAGAGGCCTTCGGGGCTCTTTGGGGCCCTTTTGGGGTTCTCTTGGGGCCCGTTTGGGGAACTTGGGGTCCCTGTTGGAGGCTATCGATAAAAACGGGGGTGTTCTTACACATCGAATATTGAGGCCCTCTATGTTCGTTCCTGGGTGGCTCTTGGGCGCTGCAGGGGCCATCTTGGAGCACTCATGGCCTCCTCTTGGGGCTCTCTTGAGCCATCTTGGACACACCTCGAGGAGTCAGACGCTCATCGTAAGCGGAACGGCGAAGGAAACCCACATGGCATTCCGTAGGTATTTGAAGATTTTGGCCTCTCGCTCTTCAGGCCTCTTGGAAGCATGTCGCGGACTATCTTGAGCCATTTCTCGGGCCTTTGGGACCACCTTGGATCGACATTGGGCCATGTTGGACGCTCCAACCCCTCGCGGGGGGAGGACTCCATACCCAGGGAGAGGCGGCAGGGGGAACGGGAAACATCTTCTCGACCGGGAGGTCTTTCGTTGAAAGAGCTAATTCCCTAAGTCGCCTACGCCCAAAGGGCTGGTGGTATTACCGTCTGCGCAGCAGTCGCGGCATTCAGATATTGCATGAGCCAGCCGAGGTCATCGACGAGGACAGTTGGAACGCATTGCTGCAGGCACATTTGACGGCTTCACATAGTTGTTCGCATTTGGAGGGGGTACTGGCAAACTGTATTTTCCATGCTTTGTCAGACGAGGGTTGCGATGGATGGACTCTTGCAGGTTTGTTGCACGAATGCTGACAATTTCATTCCTCGCTTGGAGACCTCGCGTTGTGCTGGAGGTAAGAAGGCGGTGTAGACCAGGGTTTCTTGCGTTGACAATGTGTTCGGGTGATTTCGTGGTTTCGCTACTTCCCCCTGGCCGTCTTTCTCTAAAACTGGTGACGCGCAGAATAGCATGCATCCACCTTGCGAGTTCTAATTTCCATTGCAATGTGGTGAAACAACGAGCACATGCATTTGTTGTACATGCAGTTCATTGCTTCTGCAATGTATGCAGTTCATTACGATCCCCAGGCGCGAGTGCGTTCGCAGGTGTTACACACACGTTTCGTTTTATAGGGTTTGTTGGTTTGTGCTGCTTTTTTTTTTTTTTTGGTCAGGGGATAATTATGAGAACGAGGAGGAAGAGGACGATTACGATAACCAGGAAGAGTGATGCGACTTCGGTGGGAGAAAGGATTAGCAAGTGGATCAAGGATAGAGGGAGAAAGATACACCCTCCCCCCAAGCTCCCTCTTCATAGGCCCCTACAGCAGTTCATTGCCAGGACCTGCCGCGTTGGAAGACAACCGTTTGAAGACCCTGAAGCATGCCAAAACATTATTCTCGGTATTCCAACGCCACGAATGAACCTGGCTGTTGCGTCTTGACGATCCGGAATCGTGCCAGAACGCAATTCTTGGGACCTCGACTCCGCGAATCATCGTAACTGTTGCGCCCACGAAATCGTGAATCCTTCCAAAACACAATTTCTGGTACGTCGTCATGTGAGTCTGTGAGAATCTTGTATGTTTCAACAGGAATGTGCGCGGCGCTAAGGCGAGAACCACGTTTTGAAAAGGAACCGCCCTCAATCCATGCAGCCCTTGCAAATTTTGAAAACGAATGTGCGCGGCGCTAAGGCGAGAACCACGTTTTGAAAACCACCCGCCCTCAATCCGTGAAGCTCCTGCAATGTTTTTAAACAAATGTGCGCGGTGCTAAGGCGAGAGCCACATATTGAAAACGACCCGCCCTCAATCTGTGAAACTCTTGTAAAGTTAAAAAACGAATGCACGCGGCGCTCAGGCGAGAACCACATTTTGAAAACCACCCGCCCTCAATCCGTGATCAATTTCTTAAAACGAGTGTGCGCGGCGCTAAGGCGAGAGCCACATTTTGAAAACCACCCGCCCTCAATCCGTGAAAATCCTACAAAGTTTTAAAACGAATGTGCGCGGCGCTAAGGCGAGAGCCACGTTTTGAGAACGACCCGCCGCCAATCCGTGAAACTCGAGCTTCCCGGTCATAAATGATGAGGAAGTCTCAGGCGAAACGTCCGGCCCGCTGGCCTCGGGGTGCGACAGGGATAAGTTATTCAACCGCTTCGCTCATTCCGCCGGCCCATATTGTAGCATCGCTGGCACTTGCTTGCGTGCTTGGGGGGGCATTAGGGGGGCCTCCTGGGGCCGCTCGGGGGCCTCCTGAGGGCCTCGTGGGGGCATCTTAGGGCCTCTTGGGGGCCTCCTGAGGGCCTCTTGGAGCTCCTTGGCGGCGTCTTGGGGGTCCCTGGAGCCTCTTGGGAAGCTCGCGCGGGCGAGAGGAGGGGTGATCGATTGCGGCTCCCCTCTCGGAAGCCACCATCCTCGTGAGGGGTGTCGAAAAATTGCCCTCCCCTGGAGCTTTCTGGGGGACCTGGCCGGGGATCGCCCGGGGATCCGCCGGGGATCGGCCGGGGTACTTTTCGTCCGGGGACCCCCAGGGGCCGCCACGCGCGCGCGAAGTAGAATATTGTTAGAAAGTTATCGGAGATCTTAGCACGCCTCTGGCCCGTTGGGCCGGCGAATTTATAAGGAGAAGGAATGGTAGAGGAGAAGGAGGAGGAGGAAGAGGAGGAGGAGGAGGAGTGAGAGTGATAAGGAGGAAAAGGAGGAGGAAGAGCAGCAGTGAGATGGGGAAGACGAAGACGAGCATTCGAGTGGACTGTCGCGCTCTGTACATCCTTGGTGATTCTCATGGCCATCAGTGAATCCTGATTTGTTTGTTGCCATTCGGATCCTTCTCCTTCTTCCTCGCTCTTCTTCCCCTCCCTCACTCCTCCCCCCTCCTTCCTCCCTTGTGCTCTTCGTTTTTCTGCCGCCTGCTCGTCCTCCACCCTCCACCTCATCCACCCTTTCTTCCCCCCCCCATTTCCCATCCCAGGTCTCCTCAGAGCAGGGGAGAAGGAAGAGCGAAAGGGGAAGGATGATGATGATGAGGAGGAGGTGGAGGATGAAGAGGAGGAGTAAGAGGAAGCAGAGATGGAGGAGGAGCAGGAGGAGGCGTTAAGCTTCCATCCCACTGCGTTCTCTCCTCTGACGCCGAAAGAGACGATTCATCCACCAGCTAAGCAAGTACCCCCAAGTCTACGTGAAGGTCTCGGCGCTCTTCCGAGCGGCGGCAGACGCGTACCCGTGGCCGTCGCTGTCCGACCGGCTTGCTGTGCTGCTGAAGACGTATTCCTCTTCGCGCTTGATGTGGGGCTCTGACTTTCCCTTCGTGACCAGCTTAGCTGATGCAGTTGTGGGGAAAGGTCTTCGAGGAAGCGGATGCACAGGGGGAGGGGGAGGGGGCGGAGGAGGGGTAGACCGAGAGGAGAAGAAATTATGATGATGCTGATGATGATGATGCTGATGATGAATGGGATGTTTCTGCTGCTGATGATGTTGCTGATGCTGTTGTTGTTGCTGCTGTTGTTGATGATGATAATGATGATGAGGATGAGGACGAGGATGATGCTGATGATTATGACGGTGATGATGGTGATGATGATGTTGATGATGACGCTGTTGTTGTTGTTGCTGTTGCTATTCTTCTTGTTGTTGTTGATGCTGTTGCTGTTGCTGTTGCTGTTGCTGTTGTTGTTGTTGTTGTTGTTGTTGTTGTTGTTGTTGTTGTTGTTGTTGTTGTTGTTGTTGTTGTTGTTGTTGTTGTTTTGGTTGTTGCTACTGCTGTTGTTGATGATGAGGATGACGATGCTGATAATGATGAGGATGGGGATGATGAGGATGCTGAACATGATGATGATTATGATGATGACAATGATGATGACGATACTAATGAGGACGATGATGATAATGATGATGATGATGCTGCTGATGATGACGATGATGATGCTGCTGAAGAAGATGCTGCTGACAATTCTGATGATGATGATGATGATGATGATGATGATGATGATGATGATGATGATGATGAGCAGGAGGAGGAGGAGGAGGAGAAGGATGAGAAGGGGCAGGAGGAAGAGACTAACCAGGAGGGAGAGGAAGAAGTCGATAGACTCCAACTAGCTTCTCGCCTACCAGTCCCGGCCATGCCACTCCTGGCCTCGGGCTCTGGTTGTATAAATACCCCCTCCCTGGCTACGTAAGTTTTGTGTTCGATCATGACCCTTTGTTGACGCAACCATCCAGCTTTCGCGCCGAAGACCGCCAGAAACCGCCGAAGACCGCCGAAGACTGTCAGAAGGCCGCCGACGACCACCGAAAACCGCTCAAGAACGACGGGTAACAAAGGGTCCATGTTCAAATACGTAGCGCAAGCCAGGAGGATGTATATCCATCGGTCCTGGGCCTGGTCAGGATCGGTGCCGTTGCACGAACGGCGTACTCCCAGCAAAGGCGGGTAGGTTTGGGCAGAATTTGCGGGTGCAGCGTGGGTCCTGGATCTCTCGGGGCCAGTGGTGCTCCAGCGCTCTGGATCCCCCAGGTCGTGGAAGGTGCACCTTCGCAGTTGCCGCTGACAGGGAGTTCGTCTGTCAGGTTTTTCTGTCGCGTTTCTCAAGTGAAGGCGAAGGACGAAGAATTTTCCGAGCCACCTTGTATTGTGGGTCTTTTGAATCCGCCGCGCCGCGCCACACCAACTCCTCCTTCCTGGCATTCCTCCTCCTCCCTCTCCTCCTCCTCCTCCTCCTCCTCCTCCTCCTCCTCCTCCTCCTCCTCCTCCTCCTCCTCCTCCTCCTCCTCCTCCTCCTCCTCCTCCTCCTCCTCCTCCTCCTCCCCCCCCTCCTCCTCCGCCTCCTCCTCCTCCTCAGCACAACCCTCACACGGATCGTGTACCACAAGGGGCTCCATCTACGGCCTTAGTGATAGATTTCACTTGCGTTCCCAAAGCCGGTTCACCCTTCACACGGATTGCGTCCCACAGGGAGGTCCACCTACAGCCCCAGTGAGAGAGTTCGCACGCATCCTGCCGCCTCTTTCGGCACACCCCTAATTCGGATCGCGCTCCATAGGAAGGTGCCCATGTCTGCGCACACCTCACACGGATCGTGCTCCACAGGGAGTTCGATTTATGGCCCCAGAGGCAGGGTTGGCCTGCGTCCCCCCGCCCATTTCGGCACGCCTCTCACGCGGCTCGTGCTCTACTGGGAGCCCCTCCTACGGCGTCAGTGGCTAAGTTTGCCCGTGTCCCCCATCCCATTTCGGCGCCCCACTTACGCAGGTCGCGCCTCACAAGGATATTTGCCTACGGCCCCAATGACCAAGCTCGCAGGCATCCCCCCCCACCCGTTTCGGTACACCCTTCATGCGAATCGAGCCCCAGAGGGAGTTCCACTTACGGCCCCAGGGGCTCGATTCGCATGCGGTTCCCCGCCCATGTCGGCACCCCTTGCGCGGACCCTGCCCCGCAGGCAGCTTCACTTACGGCCCTGGTGGCCCAGTTCGCATGCGGTCCCCTGTCCATTTTGGCACACCCCTTACACGGTCCCTGCCATACGGGCGTTCGCCTGCGGTCCCCCGCCCATGTCGGCGCACCACTCACGCGGAACGTGCCCCGCAGGCTCCACCGTCGGCCTCAGCGGGTGCATTCGCGTGAGGGCATCGGCTCAACTCCGCACCCCCCTCACGCGGATCGTGCCCCACATGGAGTTTGCGCTCCCCTGCGTGCTTGCCTCCGCACCCCCCCCTCCTCGCTGCCCCGCGGCGCGCAGTGTACAAGCAGAGGGCCACGCCCCGCACCGCTGCGCAGCTGCAAATGGCCTGGGGCGTCTCGCCAGGGGTCCGATTCCCGTCGCACCCCTCCGTGCTGCAGCCTGGCACGCCGGCGCCGTGCCCGCGGAACCCTGGATTTGGGGCTCAGCGCTAACGGGGCTCAGCGCTAACGGGGCTCAGCCAGAACACGGGATCCTGCAGGATCCTGCAAAGCCGGATCTTGGCTGAGCCAGGTTTCGGAGCCGCTCGCGGCCCTGGATGTGGCCTTACGTGTTGGTTGAGCCAGGTTGTGGAAGCCCTGCAAAAATCAGCAGAGCAGTGCTTTTGCAACATTGACTGAGCTGGGTATGCGCTGAGCCGGGTTAGTGCACGCCTGATGGACTGGGGGAACACCAGGGTAGCAGTGCCTCTACTCCCCAGACCTGCCTGGGGGCGAGTGCCGACCAGAAGCTCGAGGAGAACTGAGCCGCGGCCACGAGGCTCTCCAGGACGAGCATTGGCGTCGGCACCTTCTCCTCCTTCCCTGATGGGTGGCGTGCTCGCGCGCGGGAGCGCCTAGTGCCCCGTGCCGCGTCTGCCGAGCGCCGCGCGCGACCGGCGCCCCCCGGGCACGCGCGGCCACCCAAGGTGCGGCGCGGCCAGTGGTGCGCTTCCCGTGGGCACCCTGCGCGCCCCCGAGGGGCCGATGGGGGGGGGAGTTTCCTGCTCGGCCGCTCGGTGTGGCTCAGATGGCGTCCCTCTGCGGGAGGAGGAGGTGGACGAGGGGGAGAGGACGAGGAAGAGGATGAGGAGGACGATGAGGAGGGACGAGGAAGAGGAGGAGGAGGAGGAGGAGGAGGAGGAGGAGAGGAGGAGGAAAAGGAGGGAGGAGGAGGAGGAGGAGGAGGAGGAGGAGGAGGAGGAGGAGCAGGAGGAGGAGGAGGAGGAGGAGGAGGAGGAGGGCCGAGGAGGGACGAGGAGGAGGACGAGAGGGACGAGGAGAAGGAGAAGGGGGAGGAGGAGGGGGAGGAGGAGGAGGAGGAGGAGGAGGGGGAGGAGGAGGGGAAGGAAGAGGGGACGAGGAGGCGGCGGAGGAGGAGGAGGAGGAGGAGGGAGGCGGCGGAGGAGGAGGAGTAGGAGGAGGAGGAGGAGGAGGAGAAGGAGGAGGGGTTGTCTCAATGTTGTGCTCTCGGGGTATTCTCGTGCGCGCATCGTCTTCTTTCGCCCCTCGTGATTGACTTTCTCGGCCCGCGTTCGTCTCCCGTCTAGTTTTTTGTCTCCGTCCTCTGCCGGCATAGGGGCGCCCCCCCGAGGTTGTGTGTTCCTCCCCCGGGTCGGTTCTGGCCGCTCCTGCTGCTGCCCTTCCTGGTTTGCCTCTTCTCTTCGCTTGCTCGACTCGGACGTTTCGCCTCCTGAATCATGTGGTGCTGCGCACACCGCTGCTGACTTAAAAATACTCCTTCCCCGTCACCCTTCCATCGTGCTTGACCTGCTTCCTCCTTCCCCTCCTTTCTCATCTCGCTCCCTTACCTGGCCTCTCCTCCTGCTTTGCCTTATGATCCCGCTCCCTCTTCATCTCCTCCACCACCACCACCACCTCCTCGTTCTTCCCAACTCCTTGTCGCCGTCGTCGTCCCCCTCCGCCTCTTTTGGCTCCTCCTCCTCCTTACCTCCTCCTTACCTCCTCCTCCTCCTCCTCCTCCTCCTCCTCCTCCTCCTCCTCCTCCTCCTCCCCGTCCTCCTCTCCCCTCCTGCCTCCCTCGTCGTCTTCTTCCTCCTCCTATTTTTGCGCTGCCGCGGGGGCGGTTGCCTGGGCCCGAGGTCACGGACTTCGCGGAGTACGGCCCCGCGGCCCGCGCCCCCGAGGCGTGGCCGGTCTGGGGCGACATGTCCGAGCAGGAAGCGGTCAGGGGCAACGATGGGCTCAAGGGGGTGTCGGCTCAGGGGGCGACGCTTCGATGCGCTCTGGGGGAATATGCTCAGGCGGGGATGGGCTCAGGTTCCGACCCCCGATACGCTTTCCATCAGCCACCCACGGCCTGTCCAGCCAGCTACGGGGGGGGGACGAGCACGCGCATGTGCTGCTAGAGTCCATGTTTTTCACATTTCGGCGTTCTCCTTCTGTTTCGGCTTCTGGAGACCGCTTCTAGCCCAGAATCGGTACGGGGTACAGAACTGGCTTCAGTGAAGGGGGTCGAGGGCTCAGGGGCCCGCGGATTGAAATATCAATCCGCCCGAGGTCTGGGTATGCAGGTGATCGTTTGTTTGCCACGTCAGGCATTGGTGGGTAACGTCTCGCGAGAGACCCTCAGGGGACAGTTCTGACTACACTCTGCTCGGTTTCAGGACAGTTGGGGATGCGGTGTTGGAGAACAGGAGGATAAGGACTACGACGATGATGACGATGACGATGACGATGACGATGACGATTCTAATGGTGATGATGATGGTGATTCTTATGACGACGATGTCGACGATGATGATAATATTAATGCTGCTGCTAATGATGTTTTTTTATAATGCTGATTATGCTGCTGATTTTTACGATGATGATGCCGACGACGACAACGATGACGATAACGATGACGATGATGAGGGTGATGATGCTGGTTGTGGTAAGGATTAGTATGCTGATGGTTATGATGAGTGTCATGCTTCTGGTGATGATGTTTGCGACGACCATGATGATGCTGCTGATGATAATGACGAGATGCTGCTGCTGCTGCTGATGATGTTGATGATGATGATGATGATGGTGATGGTGTTTATGATAATGATGACGATGCTGCTGATGATGCTGGCTATGCTGATGATGACATTCTTCTTGTTGATGCTGCTGTTCATGATGATGATGATCATGATCCTGTTTGCCATTGTGATTACGACTATGGTGATGATGATGATGCTGTTCCTGATGATGGTGATGAGGATGATTACGAGGATAAAGCTACGGCTGAGGATGATGATGATGATGATGATGATGATGATGATGATGATGGTGATGCTGATGATGTTTATGGTTAGGGTTATGGTTATGGTGATGGCGATTGTGATGGTGATGGTGATGATGACGATGCTGCTGATGATGATGCTGGTGGTGTTGATGACGATGATGCTGATTATGGTGATGGTGATGATGCTGCTGCTGATGATGATTATGATGCTGCTGATGATGATGGTGATGGTGATGATGATGCTGATGCTGATGCTGATTCCGATGTTGCTGCTGATGATGATGCTGCTGATTATGATGCTGCTGATGATGACGATGACGATGATGATGATGGTGAGGATGATGATGATGATGATGATGATGATGATGATGATGATGATGATGATGATGATGTTGATGATGATGATGATGATGATGATGATGATGATGATGATGATGATGATGATGATGATGATGCTTATGCTGATGCTGATGCTGATGCTGATGCTGATGCTGATGCTGATGCTGATGCTGATGCTGCTGCTGCTGCTGCTGATGATGATGATGATGATGATGATGATGATGATGGTGGTGGTGGTGGTGGTGGTGGTGGTGGCGGTGATGAGGAAAACGAGGATGAGGAGGAGGAGGAGGAGCAGGAGGAGGAGGAGGACGAGGACGAGGAGGAGGAGGAGGAGGACGAGGAGGAGGAGGAGGAGGACGAGGACGAGGAGGAGGAGGAGGAGGAGGAGGAGGAGGAGGAGGAGGAGGAGGATGGTGAGGGGTGGCATGTCAGCATCGCTGGGAGGCGTGGAGGCGACTGTGGTGGTCGAGGCGGGCACGCCCGAGAGCATTCTGTCTCAGCGACCGCCACCGCCTCGTAGCCTCCCTCAGGAGCGCGACGACCTGTTCTTCAACACCGCGGCCGGCCTCCTCTCCGGGCAGTGCTCGGAGTCCAGGTGACGGGGGCGTGCGCCCCGCCAGTGACGCCCGGCGCCGGCGTGCCGCCGCCGCGCTTCGGTCCCCGCGCAAATCGGTCTATCAAGACCACGGGAGGTCTGTGTCGCGTCGGCGCGGCGGCGACCCCGCCGTGGGCGTTCAAGGTCGAACGCCGTCAGCGGCACAGCATCGGCCCATCGGGAACGATTTGGCGATCGACACGCCACCGATCGTTCAAGGGTGTACGATGCGCGCCGTGTCGGAAGCCAATGCTGGGGTCGTCACGACACGAAGCTGCTCCACGCAGCTGCGGGAAGTGGGTGCCGCTGTGGGAAGATCGGCATCGTCAGACCTGTCTCCATCCGCACCAGGAAAGCCTCGCCCCCGCCGGCCTGCACCCAGGTGGGGATGCACGCTGTCTCCCTCGGGTTTCGCGGCTTCTATCCTTGCCTGGGGGGCCGGCGCGTGGCGCTGAGGTACCTTGGCCCAGTGACCCTGAGGGGACGGGGATCATTCGAAGCAGCGATGCTGCGAAGAGCCAGCGGACGCGGGCAGCACACGTGCACTGGGTCAGGGTCCAGAAGCGTCGGAAGGGGCGGCTCTGCTCCTGCAGGGCGCAGCCGAGGACCACGAGGGGTCTCGCTGCAGAAGGACGCCGACAGTACACCACCACCAGCCCTGGCTAGGCCCATCCTGGGCCCTGAACTGGGGTACGGACCTCCAGGCCTGGGCCAGGAGGGCCTGTATACCAGTCCAGGGCCCAGGATGGGCCTGGCCAGGGCTGGTGGTGGTGTATTGTTTGGAGCTCTCCTTTCTCGCTGCTCGGCCAAATAACAGAGACAGCACCCCATTTGCGGCCCTCCAGGTCGCGCTGCGGCCCATCGGGGGCCGTAGCGCATGCCATGCAGAGGCCCGAGCCGAAACTCATGGCAGGTGCCATGGCCCTCGGGTCCGCAGGTGGAGTGGTGTCGTTTGCTTTCTGGTCCAGCGAGGGGCCTCGCTGCCTCCGCCCCTGCCCGAGGCGCTGCATGACGAGGCTCCGGCGGCGCCTCCTGCAAGGCGGGTGCGCAGCGGCCCTCCGCGGGGGCCCTCCGTCGGAGGCGGGCGCCCTCTCCCCGAGGGCACGCGCCCTCCGCGCTGGCCCCGCGCCCGCTTCCAGGGAGGCGCAGTGCGCGGCCGGTCACCTCGTCGCTGGGGGGCCCTCTTGGGGCCGTCTTGGGGCCATCTTGGGATCTCTGGGGCCGTCTTTGGGGCGTCGGGAAGCCGAAGAGGCGAGGAGACCAGAATTCTTCGAACACCATTCTGGGACATCAACGGTTTTGGCCTCTTGAGGCCCTCTGGGGAGGCCTCTTTGAGGCCTCCTCGGCAGAGGTCGGTGCGCCATGGGGGGAAGAAGCGGGTCCTGAAGGAAACAGGTCCCGAGGTGTTTCGCCGTTTTCGGGCGCTCGGGCCCTCCACGGGCCCCTGGGCTGTCGGAAGACGAGGGAGGATGAGAAACTCGTCCTGGGGGAAGGCAACTGGGGTGCGGAGATCAGGGGGACGAAGGCGGAGAGCAGGCCCTGCCCATTTTGGGCGGGATTCGCTGTCGGCGTCGCCGCGGACGCAGTCAGTTTTAGACCGGAGGTCGCCTGCCAGACGGCGGCCGCTGTCGGCTCTGGACAACATTCGCTGTTGGGCATCGTGCCCATGTCCATTTCGGGCGTCCAGAGAGAGAGAGAGAGAGAAAACAATGAACATACTAACAAACAACAACGAAAGAAAGAGAGAGAGAGAGAGACAGGGATGTCACGCCGCCCTCTGACGGTGGGCCAAGCACAGGCCGCGGAAGCCCAGGGCTCCTCGTCCAATGATCCCTGCTCATCAGGGGCAACCTTAGGGGGGGATAGGCTCAGGGGGGACGCATCGACCCCCCAGTCGGCCGTTCATCGCTGATGGGGTTCCCATAGCCCACCCCCGCCCAGGAGCGTGCGGATACACTGTCAGGAACCAGTCGCCGATCTATCGGCGATGTCGATGTATCGCCGATTCCAATCGATGCTTCCTCCCCCTGAGCCAGCCCCGCCCTAACGTTGCTCCTCAGCTCACCGCCCCCGCCGTGTCTCGGCCGCGCGCCGGAGGTAGCGGTGGGACTGGAGGAGGAGGAGGAGGAGGAGGAGGAGGAGGAGGAGGAGGAGGAGGAGGAGGAGGAGGAGGAGGAGGAGGAGGAGGAGGAGGAGGAGGAAGAGGAGGCGGAGCAGGAGCGGGCAGGAGGCGGAGGGGGGAGGAGGAGGAGGAGGAGGAGGAGGAGGAGGAGGAGGAGGAGGAGGAGGAGGAGGAGGAGGAGGAGGAGGAGGAGGAGGAGGAGGAGGAGGAGGAGGAGGAGGAGGAGGAGGAGGAGGAGGAGGAGGAGGAGGAGAATAAGTGCGAGGAGCACGGGGATGGGGAGGGCAAGGAGCGCGGGCAAGTTTCGGGCTGCGCGTGCTGATCTGGAAGCTGCTGTCTCGCAGAGTGCAGCGCAGCAGGCGCTGGCCGCGCTCGGCGCCAGCACGGTCTAGGCCCTCTGTCGGCCGGAGGGCCTCGTGCGCGGCGCACGCCAGAGCTGGAGAGATGCGGGTTCGACGGCGGTTGTGGCCGACGGCAGATCGGTGCGCTCAGGGGCGGTCGGGGGAGGGGACGGAGCAGGGAAGGGAGGAGGGGTGGGAGGAGGATGGAAACACTCCCCTTACCTTCCCGCCGTCCTGCCTGGCCCGTCCCGCCGTCCCCTTCTCTGCTCCACCTTCTCCCCGCTCCCTACCTCCGTCCTTCGTGTCCTCCGCTCCTCCCCTATCCTCCCACTCGCGCAGCCGCCTGGACCGCCCTGCGCCCCCCAGCGCCCCCTCCTCCTCCTCCGCCTCCTCCTCCTCCGCCTCCTCCTCCTTTTCCTCCTCCTCCTCCTCCTCCGCCTCCCCTTCCTTCTCTCCCTGCTCCTCTCCTCTCCTCCCTCCTCCTCCCTCCTCCCTCTCCTCCCTATCCTCCCTCTCCTCCTCCGCCTCCTCCTGCGCGCCGCTCTGACAGCGATCCCTGCTCCACCGCCTCGCGCCGCGCGCGCCCGCACGCGGGGGACCACGCACGCTCGGCGGGGGGGCCCCTGGACGCCAGCAGGGAACCTCGTTTCCGGAAGTGTGTGTGGGGGGTGGTGATTTTTTTGCGGGGGTGGATATCATGACGGGGGCCATGCTATTTCCGCATATTTCATGGTGCCTTTTCTTGTTTCAATACGTCCCCAGCCCCCCCCCCGGGCCGCGCACATGCCGCCGGCCATGATTTGCACCCCCCCCTTTTGGACGCCCCCCCTCTTTGCCGCCCCCGAGAGGGAACCATCCTAATTATCCTTCCTCGAAGCCCGAAACACATCGAGGAGAGGACGGCGGGCGACAGTTTTTTTGGGCGGGTCCCGTGTCAGTCGCAGGAGCCTCGACATCTCGGAGTAGACGCAGTAGGCCTCGTTCATGTTCTGCTCTTCCGGCTTCTGGCTGGCCAGTCTCGCCTATTGCGGTTTCCTGCGGATGAAGTAGCGGGGGACGTTAGCTTCCGGTCCATCGTTCCAGCGGGTTTTCAAGCTCTGGACGCTCAGTTCCAACACCGCGCGCTCGACGTACTCCCTGCCGAAATTGCCCTCCGCCGTTCTCCGACGGCAATCGGCTTTTTCGATGTCCAAGCCTTCCGTGGGCCTGGGTGATCGTCTCGTGGCTCTCGTGGTACAGCTGCTGGCCCTGGTAGCTCAGCTGCTGGTCCACGCAACCCTGCACGTGGCTCTGGTAACTCAGCGCGCGGGGCTCGCAGCTCAGCTGGCGGCCCTCGTAGCTCTGCCGCCAGCTTTCGTAGAACAGCTGGTGGCCCTGGTAGCTCGGGTCGCGGTCCTCGTAGCGCAGCTTATAGCCCTCGTAGCTCAGCTGGTGGCTTGTGGCCCTGGACGCTCTGGTGGCGGCTCTCGGAGCTCTGCCCGTGACTGTTGTAGTTCAGCTGTGGGCCGTGCAGCTCCGCTGGAAGCTCTCGTGGCTGTGCTCGCAGCCCCCCGATCTCTGATTGCTTTCCTGGAAGCGCAAGTCCTGGCCCTCGTAGAAGAAAAGCTTGTGGCCCTTGTAGCTTAGCAGGTGGCCCTCGTAGCTCAGCTGATGGCTGCAACAGTTCTGCTTCTGGCCCTCATGGCTCAGCCAGCGGCCCTCCTCTGAGCTCAGCTCGTTGCCCTCGTGTTTCTGCAGGTTGCTCTAGTAGCTCTGGTGGTGGGTCTCCTAGCTCAGCAGGCGGCCCTTGTAGCTCAGCAGGTGGCCCTCGCGGCCGTCGTAGCTCTGCTTGTTGCCCTCGTAGCTCAGCCGGTTGCCCTAGTAGCTCAGCTCGTGGCCCTCGTAGCTGGGCTGCAGGCCCTGGTAGTTCAGCTGGTTGCCTGTGTAGACCTGCTTGTGGCAGTCGAAGCTCAGCTGGTGGCCCTGGCAGTTCAGCCGGCGGCCCTCGTAGCTCTGCTGGTGACCCTCGTAGCTCAGCAGGTTGTCCTGGTTGCTCTGCTGGTGGTTCTCTCAGCTCTTGTTGTTGTCCTCGAAGCTCAGCTCGTGGCCCTCGTAGCTTGGCTGGTGGCTTTCGTCGTAGTTCAGCAAGTGGCTCTCGAAGTCCTCTTGGTGGCCCGCGTAGCTCCGCTGGTGGCTATGGTAGCTCTGCTAGTGGCAATCGTCGCTCTGCGGATTGTCCTCGTAGGTCCGCCGGTGGTCCTCCGACTTCTGCGTGTTGCCCTTGAGGTTCGGCGCGTGGGCTGTCGCAGCTCTACGGGTGGCCCAGGTAGCTCTGCTGTTCGCTCTTGAGGCTCTGCGAGTGGCCCACGTAGCTCTGCTCGTGGCCTCCGAAGTTCGGCTGGTAGCTCACGTAGCTCTTTTGGGGCTGCCACAGCTGTGCTGGTGGCCTTCGTAGCGCTGCTGGTGGCTATCGTAGCTCAGCTAGGTGGTCCTCGTAGCTCTGCTCGTGGCCTTCGAAGCCCTGGCTGTAGCCAGCGCAGCTCTGCTGGTGGCCACGGTAGCTCTGCTGGTGGCCCTCGTGGTTGCGCTGGTGGCTTTCGTCGGTCCTGTGCTGGGGCTCGTAGTTTTGCGTGCTGCCCCTCTTCGAAAGACACCCAGGCCTCCTGTTCGCCCCCGTGGTACGAGTCGGAGTCGTCGGTTGTCAGGTCGTAGTGCTCCGTTTCCCAGTGGGCGCGCCTTGCGATAGCACGGCGCCTGGCGAGGAAGGCTTCGCGCGCCAGCGCGGCCGTCGCGTGGGCGTCGGGCCTCTCCGAGTAGTCCTCCTCTTCCTCCCTGCCGCCCCCTCCTCCTCCTCCTCCTCCTCCTCCTCCTCCTCCTCCTCCTCCTCCTCCTCCTCCTCCTCCTCCTCCTCCTCCTCCTCCTCCTCTGCAGCACACCTGGCGGCCCTCGGAGCTCTGCTGGCGGCTCTGCTTGCGGCCCTCGTAGCCCAGCTTGTGGTCCTCGTAGCTCAGCTTGCGGCTCGCGAAGCTCTGCTGGTGGCCTTCGAAGCTCTGCTCGTGGGCCTCGCGGCTCAGCTCGCAGCCCCTGAAGTCCTGCTCGTGG